GAGGTTCCTGAGGGAGCCCTCGAGCTTAGTTACTCTTAAACGAGGTTTAGGCTAAGTGCCATCTGCGCTCGGCCACCTCAAGCCCGGTGAAGCTGTAAATGCCTCCTAAAGGCAAACAGTGGCAATCAGTCACAAAAAAAAAACCCGCGACTCCATCCGCGAATTATAGTAGCCTGTGTGTTCTTCCAGACTATGTTCTACAACTATGCCTTTCAGCGATACCTTCAAACAAACATCCATCCATCAATCCATCTAAGTTCGCATTTATAATATTAATAAAAAGTAAGATAGCCTTTTCTAATCTTAAGTAGAAAAAGAATCTTACTAATAATATGAATGAGAACGTTTGGATGTATGTATGTTGGTTGGTTTAAATTCTTAAGAGTTCTTTTGTCTTTTTCAACCGAAGTAATCAATCATTAATGTCAATCCTTAGTAATCAATGGACATTGTTTTTATTTGCCCTTTAAGTACAGATTCATGTAGTTTTATGCAATTTAATTGGTCGCATTTTATGAACATACGATTCTTATTGGTTGGACTTTATAAAATACTACTCACAATTTTAAACATAAAGTACTAAGTAAAGAAAATGAGAACAGTAAAGCTTGTGAGAGCGTCGGTGACTCAGTGGTCAAGCACTTGACTTGCAATCTAAAGGTCCTGGGTTCGAATCCCGCCATGTACCAATGTGTTTTTTGATTTCCGATTTACATATTTACATTTATCCGAGGTTCTTACAGTGAAGGAAAACATCGTGATGCAACCTGCACATATTTGAGAAGAAATTCAAAGATATGTGTGAAGTCAACCAACCTGCACTTGGCCAGCGTGGTTGACTATGGCCTAATCACCCTTAATTTAGGATAGGCTCCGATCCCCTCGGTGGGGACGTATAGTGAGCTGATGATGATGATGATGAAAGCTTGTGACTACTTTTTGTTTAAAATATCAGCTGTAAATTCGAATACATTAATGTGTTTGTGTCCACATATATCTACTAATTAAGTTGTTTTTAATACCGCGCGAACGTAGTCGCGTGCGACGGCTATATTTACATTCGGCAAAACATAAATATTGAAATCCTGTTGTCCATCAATCATATAAATGCTATCGCATTCCTAACTAATACATCAACATACCTTTTCCTTAATCATTAGTGCAAATTTGTTAAACTATTAATCGATTTTTTTTTCATGTAATCAATGTGTAATTTCGATAAGGTCCTGGCTTGCGAATGGAACTTTATATCGATAACATCGTTTTGCAGAGGAAGTTGCACTATCTGCGTCTTATCATGAGTCAATGGCGGTAATTAGACGGTGCGAGCTAGTTTGAGTGTAAAAGTGTGTAAGTGTGCGCGCGTGCAAGTGTGGTGCGCGTGTGCAAGTATGGTGTGCGCGTGTACAAGTGTGGTGTGCGTGTGCAAGTGTGATGTGCGTTCGAATTATGTCATTCATAAGTGGAAGTCGGTTCGAGTGAGATCGTGTCGCGATAGTCTCTTATTCCGACACCGATAGTATGGGACTAAACTGTAAGTTTATTGTGATTTAATTCTATTACATGTATTTGTTTATTTTAGTGCCAGAATGAACTTTAAAATGTCTGGCAGCAGTGTACTCTTGATCTAGAAATGTCAAATAAAAAAAAAATTATACGTAAAAAAATCCATACATCTTTTCCAATACATTCCTTCTATTGTGACATATTTAACCCGAAAAATCTCTCTAATGTGCAAGATCTTAGTAAATTTGTATTTTCCCCATAGTATCATAAGTAGCATAATTAGTTTTATAATTGTATCATTCATTAATAGAATACATAAGAAAATAACGCGTAAATTATTTATTATGGCTGGACGAAAACCCAAAAAACAATTAAAGTAAAAGCTTCAAAGAAAATGAGCCACAAAATATATAATAGTTTTTACGTTAATTATTTATTTTTATATAAATTATTCTTTGTTCTCATAAAGGTTACTTAAATTCATGTAATAAATAAGATAATGAAAGTAAAAGCTATAATTCCCTTGAACAGTAATTTGTAAAGCTAATTACGTGGAGCCTCGTATCACATGCGATCTTAAGACAAACGCTGCGCCTTCGCCGCCACTTGGACAGGTTTATTTTTGCTAAATAAATATAAAATAAGTTGTAATTTGATATAAAAAACTATCTGTCGACCGCGACTCCGTCCGCGCGGAAATAAAAAAAAAACATAATTAGTAGCCTATGCGTTGCCCGGATTGTGTTCTATATGTATACCAAAATTTCATCGAGATCCGTTCTGCAGATACCTTTAAAATAAACATCCATCCATTCATCCAAACATTCGCATTTATAATATTAGTAAGAAGTAAGATAAATTTACAAGAAAATAAAGATTTTTACTATGTCCATTAGTACGTTTCATTGTAAAATGTAATTTAATTATAGGTATTCATAGAGACATGCCTGGTTTTTTTTATCCTTGACTTTAGTACTGGTTGCGATGATTTTTGACAGCCCTATTATTAATTTAGTTATCTACACAATGATTTGTCATATGACATCAATTCTGTTTAGTCATAGGCTTATAGGTAAATGCGCAATCACGTTCTTTGATTCATGAAATTCGATAATTTTACACAACAAAAGTGCACCAAACTATCCGTATGTTTGTGCAAAAAACTGAGCCCTCCCCCCCTGTGACTGACCGTTGTATTTTAAAGATAACGCTAAACCACCCCACCACCCCCTCCCCGCCCCCAAACGGGTCACGTAGTATGGGTACGTTCCCTTAAAGCATATTGTTTTCCCTGTTTTGTCAAAGATAATGACAGGGACGACGATATGTCTACAAGAATAAACCACCATAATCCCATTATCAGTTCACTATAGGTCCCCACTCAGTTGCTCGGAGTCTACACCTATGTTAGGGGTGACTAGGCCATAGCCAACCATGCTGGCCCAGTGCGGGTAGATTGACTTAACACATATCTTTGAATTCGATTTTTTTCGTCACTGTAAGAACATCGGATAAATATACATAAGTCAATCGAAAAACGAAAAACACATCGGTACATGGCGGGATTGGAACCCAGGACCTGACTACAAGTCAAGTGCTTAAACCCCTGAGCCACCGATGCTCATTTTCACGACGCTACGCACGCGACCTTTTCATTCAATCAAATCAATTTCTTCTCTAAAAAGAAATTCCATCGACCTACTTTTACTTCAAGAGCTGACCCGTGTGAACAACCCATTTCCAAGAACATAACAATGCATCTAATTCAATACACGAACGATCTAACAGCGGAGTTAATGCACAAGAAACTATAATAGTGCCGCCGTCAATTACGACATAATACAATAATCAGAAGGCAATTAAAATGAAGCAATTAACTAATTAAGCGGCAATCGTTTATTAGTTATAAGGTCAGAATTAACATAGTAGATAATAGATTCGAATCGTGTGATTAACACCTCGGAAGACTTCTAAGAACAATGATTGTAATACGCCCTTTTATAACATAGAAATAAATTATTAATATATATTTTATACTTGATGTAAGCAGAGATAAATCGCCAAACTTTTTTATTTCAAAACTGATATATGAACACGGCTAAACACTCACGTATATACGTCCGGTGGCGGCACCGACTAGTTTCGAGCCCATCGGGGGCCCTTCATCAGGATGAGTGGTACTGGTATTATTTCGCCGGCGTCGTCGACGATGTTGATACCAAAGCGTCGGTGGTGTTGTTGAAGTTGAGCGAACGGCCGCGTCCGCGAAAAAATACCAGTACCACTCATCCTGATGAAGGGCCCCCGATGGGCTCGAAACTAGTCGGTGCCGCCACCGGACGTATATACGTGAGTGTTTAGCCGTGTTTATATATCAGTTTAGTATAATGTCTCACGAAAGTTTGAATATTTTTTTATTTCAGTAAAGTGATTGTGTAAAATTCTGTACACATAATTATTTTTCTTTATAACTAATCCCATACTACTAGAAATATTATCTAAAAAAACAAATTAAATTACTTTAATGTTATTAATTACTACCTAGTGAAACAGTAGTTTAACAGTAGTAGACAATAGCAACAAAATCTGTTGCACGAATAGACTGGCTTGACCAGTGAAATACCACCACAGAAGACAGCCGTGAAGTAGAAGTAATTCTGTGTTTCGTTCGATGAATATGTGTGCCAGAGGCCTAATTTTAGTCCTTTTACCCTTCTCAACCCTTTCTTATAAGAAGTGGACGCATAGGAAAGAGATTCCCTTTCTGTGCGTCACCCTTCCGTCGATTAACGGTAGGCAACGCATCTATATAAATAGTTCTTGTAATTAATTAAAAAGAAACAATTTCATTATTGTTCTACACAGATGTACTTAACTCGAGTAACTTGCAATTGACCATCAAACTGTACCTACTCATCTATTATTAATAATTAACGTTACAATTGTACGCGTAGATAGCAACGCGTGGATAATTCACTTCTTATTGCCCTTAATAATAACTTATACGGCGCATCCCTGATGCAATTAAATTCGCAAAGACGTTATATAAAAGAATTTATAACAATACTCAATACTCCATTGTAATTGGCCATCGAGAAAATATCTGCCACAATCAAGAGAGAGCAGAAAAAAATTATAATTTAAAAATGAATATTTTTACGCCAGTATTGAGTATTAGCTGTCGCCAGCGACTCCGTCCGCCCGTTATTAAAAAAAAACATAATTAGTTGTGTATGTGTTCTTGCAGATTATGTTGTATATGTATGCCAAATTTCAACGAGATGCGTTCAGCCGTTCTAGAGATACCTTCAAATATACATTCATCCATCCATCCATTTAAACATTCGCATTTGTAATATTAGTATGAAATGTGATAGCTATGGTATTCCCGATAACAAACCTTTCATGCAATACCGTTATTTTACCAAAAAAAAGTATCACTCCCTAAGCAATGTTTAGTGTTTATTGCTTATTAAGAACGTGTTTTTTTCCAGATTATTATCCTCAAGAGGCATACCAGAAGTACACCGCAATGGGGGTGTCTGAGGTACCCAAAGACGACTCCCCCCGTACCACACCAGAGCTTTCCCGTGCTGACCAATCCCCGGCATCAGAGCGGCCACCACCAGGGTCAGCGGACAGCGATGATGCAGACGAGTTCACGCCGAAGAGAAAGCAGAGACGATATAGAACAACATTCACTAGCTTCCAACTTGAGGAACTGGAGAAAGCTTTTTCAAGGACACATTATCCTGATGTATTTACAAGGTTAGTAATACATTTTAAGCATGGATTTTTTAGTAAACGCTAATAATCAATTAGTACTCGAAATGGTTTTTAAAAAACTATTCTAAGATAATTTTTTTTAGAAATAGATACGAAAGTATAACGCGAAAATTATCATCTCATTATAATTTATGTGGTACTAGGTGTCGCCCGCGACTCTATCACAAAGGTATTTAAAAAAATCTTAATTAGCCTATGTTTCCTTCCAGACTATGCTCTACATTTATGACAAATGACGAAATTCATCAAAATCCATGCAACCATTCTGAAGATACCTTTTAGCAAACATCCATCCATCTAAACATTTATAATATTAGTAAGATTTCGTTTCAAAAACTTTAGATTCGTTTCAAAAAGATTAGATATAGATATGCTTAAATATATAAATATAACAATGTAATAACAAGAACAAAAATGTAAATTTAACAATACATATCGATGTATTCGATCGATTCTTTAGCTCTTCATTCCGATTAATTAATTAATCAAAAAAGTGAAATGTACAATTACCCGTGCAGTTACCATGTGTGACAACTTGTATTAAGCCTTAAGTATCCATTTACAAAATTATTATAGTGTTAGTTAGCTGTAAGTTGTCCAGTTAATAAATAAAAAAAAAATATATGTTAATTTCATTTTGCAATATGATTATATCAACACGTTAATTTCGTAAGAGAAAATTCCTATAATATTTTTCTACATCGATACTTAAATGAGGAGTAGTAATTAGTAAAATTGAACAGAGGAATATAAAAATAAGTAATATATAAATCTAGATTCATATCATGAAGCGGATGGATGGATAACGTATTTATATCTATACATTGGCATTGATAAACGACATATTAATATATTTATGTATGCGATAATATCGATAATTCATTAACAAATATATTACTTATAAATACTTGAATAAACGTAAGCATTACTTATCTTAATCCCATTAACCATCATTTAATTTACGCTATCGTTATATGAATGAAATAAAATTATAAATTGTTTATGTTTATCACCTATCAGTTATTATTATAATAGCTTTATATAAATTTTCTTTTATTTTTAGCTAATTTTATCTCTGTAATGACAACTTCCGTCTTAAGATTATACATAAGTACATATACATAACTTTATATATACAAACACATACGTCATATATCACGTAATATATCAAGATATATAATGAAAGGGTCATAAACCCCCATTTCCCCCCGAGAGGGAGCTGCCTCGGCAGCTGGCGCAGACGGGGCCGCGGACGAGAGCGAAAGCGTGCCCGTGGTCCCGTCCCGATGCGTTGGAGGAACAGAGGGGTGTAGTGGGTATGCCTCCGCTATGGAGGAGAATCCCACATAACTACCGCGTCCTCCCCCGGGGCGCGGAGTGTGCATAAAGCATTCCCCTCTGAAAAAAAAAAGGGTCATAAACCAATTTCTTTGCATTATTTATAATAATCTTACTAATATTATGCGAATGTTTAGATGGATGGATGTTTGTTTGAAGGTATCTCCGGAACGGCTTAACGAATCACGATGAAATTTGTCATGGATATGAAACTTAGTCTTGAAGAAAACATTAGGCTACTTATAAAGTTTTTTTAATACCACGCCTGGGAGTCGCGGGCGACTGCTAGTCTTTGTATAAAATTCCCGTGTCACAATGTTAATAACCATACACCTCCGAAACGGCATGACAGATTTTTATGATATATGCATATTCAGTAGGTCTGAGAATCGGCTACTATCTATATTTTAATCCCGCGAAGACGGAGTCGCAGGCAACGGCTAGTATTATATAGAAGAAAGATTTGATTGATTGTTTACTTTGGTCCGAAAACTACTAAACATATTTGAAAAACTCTTATACTGTTGGGAAATTATATCAACGATAGACATAGCTTACATTTATAAGTAGATTTTTTTTTAATTCAGCGTGGATACAGTCGCAGGCAACTGTTAGTTAAATAAAAGAGTCATGTGTACACTTCTGAAATCATTTTTTAGCCGACTTCAAAAAGTAAGTTATCATTTCGTCTGTTGTTTTATGTGTGTTACCTTATAATTTTTCTTCCTTGTTCCAGAGAGGAGCTGGCGATGAAGATTGGATTAACAGAAGCAAGAATACAGGTATTCATTTAATTAAATTTATTATCATACAAACAACAGACATAATTACTAGCAATTTTCTGCTATTAAATACACGCTAAGTGTTAACACTCATTTCTTTGCTCATGAATGCAGAACATCAATTTTTCGCGTTTCGTCTTATGAGTGTGCGTCCCGGAGGCCTAATTTAGACCTCTTTCCCGTCCCATCCTTTTTCTTATAAGGAAAGGATGGAAAGTGGAAATGGACTTTCCGTATTATATGAGAGGATGCATGGAAAGGGAAAATATTTTCTTTCTGTGCATCCTCTCCTCCTTCGAATAAAGGTAGGCAACGCATGTGCGATTGCGTATGTATATGGGCAACGGTCACTTCGCTATTTCAGTGATTTCAGGTGGTCGCTCGCTCGTTTGCCTTACTGTATGATATAAAAAAGATAGAATTTGAACTGCACAATTCTGTCGTCAAACTGTACTATATGTAGGCGTGTAGCAGACTTTACCATGAAAGTTTAACTTAAATAACAGTTCTTTGTAATATTCAAACTTTACGCGTAACATAAAATGACATCGATTTTCACTCTTATTTGCTATGTCTAGAAAATACTACGAGTAATATTTGAAGTTTGTTTTTTTTTACGTTAATAAAATAGATTTTTAGGAACAAATTATTTTAATTTATAAATTTAAATATCGTCGACATAAAAAGTTATTATGTTAAACAAACTTTAATTAAGAGAAAATCACGTGAATTTTTCATCAAAGCAATTATAAAATAACTATAGAACATAATGAATCAATTTGAATTATCATTTTAATTGATGCCGCAATCATAAATAACATTTTAATAATACAACGTAACGTTTTTCGTTGTTTATAAAACGAGGTCGTTCGTTTTCTTTACATCGACCAATGCTAAATACTCATTTGAATTTTATTATGATTCAGTTATTTATTTTTGTTTAAATATTATATTAATGTTTAATCAATCAAATTAACAAAACGAGGTCGCTGTTTCTATTTTATAATTGCTTACTAAATAATATATTTAATAGTAAAACTTACTAACTTTATTAATGCGAATGTTTGGATGAATGAATGGTTGGATGTTTTTTAAAAGGTATCTCCAGAACAACTTCATGGATCTTGTTGAAATTTGGCATAAATAATATATCCTGGAAGAAAACATAGGCTTTTTTTTTATTCTACGCGAACGTAGTCGCGGGCAACAGCTAGTATTTTCATGTGTCACTCGTCGCAACAAATAAGGATCAAAGGAAATTATGTAAATTCGATTTAATTAAAATTATAAATAAGTTAAGATGTAAATTAGTCGGCATTCTGTTGTAAATTACGTTATAACATAAGAAAGGATATCGACCAAGTATGGATGGGACGCCCGTGTCTCTTGACCATATGTGGGTAGACAGAAAAACCTCACGACTATATTAAGTTCGTATTGTGAATGTGAAAATCATCATAAAAATGTCTTTTACGTAGCGATCAATTAAAATATTATCAGCTGGTATATCTTAATAGTAGTACACGTTTATTATTTAAATTCTTTAGGGATAGACAACTTTTATACAACTACCTGACCTTTCCAGTAAGGAGTTTGAGTTTAAAAATAAATTTGAATATATTCTACTCTTTTGCAAGTTAAACATAAGTACTATGAACGGTTTAAATGTAAGGTCGAGTAAGTTAAAAATGTCTAACTTAATTTGTAGTACAGAATTCCATAGATATATCGTAAACTAGATATGCTAATATATTTCACACATTTTTAAGACATGTCATGTATTTTAAACGGAGATTTTGAGCTCAGAAACCCGCGGTTAGACTGAAAATCTCTGCTTGTCTTTATTAAAATTATTTGACATAATTTAACGACAATCGCGTTGCTTATTCTTATAAAATTCATAAGTATTTAAAGCAAAATTCAGATTAAAAATATAATGACAATATTATAGAGTTCTTTGAAAAAAAAACTTTATAAGTAGATTATGTGTTCTTCCAGTATATGTTCTACATCTGTGTCAAATTTCAACAAGATTCGTTGAGCCGTTCCGGAGATACCTTGAAACCAATCCAATCCGGTAATAACGAAGTAACAGCCCGAGCCGAGGTTCCCGAAGGAGCCCTCGAGCTTAGTTACTCTTAAACGAGGTTTAGACTACGTGCCATCTGTGATCTGCCACCTTAAGCCCCGTGAAGCTCAAAATGTGTCAAGGCAATTCAGTCACAAAAAAACCCTTGTAACCAACATCCAACTAAACTTTCGCATTCATTATATTAGTAAAAAGGTAGTCTAATAGATAATTTAAAGTCAACACAAACAAAGGTCAGATATGTACATAATCATATTTAAAAACTGCGCAGTAAAATTAAAACCGCAACTCGTACGCGGCATTTTAGGACCAAGACCGGTGATGATCATTACTTTAATGCCGTACTCTGTTAAGCTATTAAACCTGGCACCTGGGTCGCGACCGGCGTCTTTATCTGCCGACTGTACACATACCGTCAACATGTTTGACTCCAATTACAACATTTATAAATTCAAGAGCCCAGTATGAAGTCATATTTATGAAATGAACATTGTAAACTACACGACACTTGATATATTCAAAAATGAATTCAATTGTTTATTGTATAAGATTGAATTTTCATTGCGATACGTAGAAAAGTTAATAGCATTTTTTGGTTGCATCCATTTAAACAAACCGCATCAACTAACAGAAAGAAAAGTTGGCTTAATCTTTTTATCATCGAACATTTATCATAAGTGAATTAATTTGAATTAATATAAAAATAATACTTAAAATAATGATTATTTGGTATCGGATATCGTTTTTTTTTTCTGTACTTTGGACTTTGGACTGGACTAATGTTGAATTCCGAGAATTAATCGATCAAATTCACTTATCGTTTTGTGTGAGTCACAGCCGCAGAATACTTTTTCAAATAAAACATAGTCTTCTTTAACTCATATATTTCTTTTAGAATTGTAAACAACAACTTTTTCAAAAACACCCCTGTTACATTGTCTTTTTCATTGCCCGAATGTCAGAAAAACATGGCCGTCATTCAGACGAGCAATTACAATACTTTTAATTTACGATAACGAAATACAATCAGATAATTAACATGTTAAGTTGAATACTTCTATTATATTTGAGAATCAAATATTTAAATAATCTTTTTGATCGTAATACAAATTAATGTTGTTATTTTAAATAAACAAAAGTGTTATTGACTTATAGCATAGACTAAATAACGTTTTAGATTAAGGAATTACAGAATATATAAAATGGCTAACAGCTTATTATATTTGATTCTAATGAATGTATGTATGATTTTGTTGTAAAAATAAAAAAATGTGTTTAGGTAATACTCGAATGAATGAAGTAATGATAAAACAAAAATGAAATATTCTAGGTAAATATTTCGCACGTAATAAAATATTATCGTAATAATCATAAAGTATTTAATAATCTTTTATCAATTAATTAATATGCTTATGTCTGGTAATGATAACTGGATGCTCAACACGAATGTAAAACGGATTCTTACCTATTTAAAAATAAATGCGATAAAATTTAATTTTTAAAAGTTTTTTTGCTGACGCTCCTAGTACATTTAACCATCGCTAGTGACGGGAGAAGAGTTCCCTGTTGAAAAATAATAGAAAAGCTAACTTAAGTAAGTTATATTTCAACTACATGATAAAGAATGATAGTTTTTATTTCCAGGTTTGGTTTCAAAACCGTCGCGCGAAATGGCGGAAACAAGAGAAAGTGGGTCCTCAAGCGCACCCTTACAACCCGTACCTAGGGGCGGCCGGGGCGCCGCCACCCTCCGTCGTAGCCTCCATGCCCAACCCCTTCTCGCAGCTCGGCTTTGGGTTCCGGAAGCCCTTTGATACGAATGCACTTGCCTCATTTAGGTATTTATAACGTCTTATAATCTCTTAATAATGAATTATTTTCTTTGATACCAGTTATTATTATATTTGTGGAAGTGGTTAGGTTTTTTACTAACCAAAAATCAAAATTCATTTAGTAAAATTATCGTGTATTTCATAATATTTTTTTAAATTATAGATACGGAGGCGCGCCAGTTCTAAGCCCGCAGTATCTCGGTGCGCCCTTACCGAGACCGCCGCTATTCGGTGCCCCCATTTACACCACCAGCCCGCCCTTCCACTCCCTCCTTGCCGGGCTGGCGCCCCCTCCCCGGCAGTCACCCGACCCTCCTCCCGTCTCTCCCCCCATCTCTCCAGGAAGTGAATCCCCTCCCGCGCAAACTGGTCCAGAAGTGGAAAGAAGAAGTTCAAGCATCGCCGCATTAAGGATGGCGGCACGAGAACATGAACTACGGTTAGAAATGCTAAGACAAAGACATCACACGGACTTGATTAGTTGAGCTTTCTTTACGAGTTTCCTTACCGTGGATTTAACATGGCGTGACATTTGTGTATACTATCTCTACTTTCTCCATAAGAATGAAAGGGACAACGATATTGACGTAATATGTTACGACAACGGAGATTCATACATTTAATCGTCTGTACACTTTACCGTATATTTCCAAACAACGAACATCTAATTCTTAATAATAACAATTTTATTTTTTATAAGCGTACTGTGAAAAAGTATTACGAGTTATTATAAATATAATTGATAAGAATCAAAGCATATTTCATTAGAAGTTAATTTAATTTAAGTTGTAGCAACTTGTATATTTTTTTTTAAATTTAATAAATTATTCGAAGATTAAAATACTTAATAGGTCATTTCGTAATTACCAAACAAAATTAAGGATTAATTGTATTAATTACTGGATTTTCCTTTAATTTTGTTTTTCTAAAAAATAAAAAATCTTGTTTTTGCACATTTTTTGTATTTATTATTAAAGGTACGAAACGACCTATTTGTATGTAAAATCTTCGAAATTGCTTAAGAATGTATTACGGATCCGTCCAGTTTATAGGCCTTATTGTTATTTATTTTAGTCATAAGATTTTAAATAGTGTAAGTCTCCATTATTGAAAAAAATGTGTCTGAAAATTTTACCTTATAGCCTTATAAAAATTTCATATACAAGAAAACATTTTTTATGAAAATTTATGAAAATTATTTTAAAAAATTGATAAAGAAGCTTTGTCTGTTCTATCTATGCAGTAAATTGGTCATCAAACTAATCTATTATACATTATTGTAACAAAAAAAATTCGCCAAAGAAACATAATTATTTCATGTATTGAAATTTTTTACAAAAACACAAACAGTTTTCTTTTAATTTGTTTAATTAAAAATGTGCCGCATCAAATAAAGAATAATGGAAATTATAAATCTTGTTAATTTTATTGACAACCCTATTTTTATTATTTATAATATTATAATTGAATTTTTTGTATTTATACCGTTAATTAGAAATTACCAGAAAAAACAGCGTGACCTTGCTGGCTGGATACTTATCATATTTAAGAAATAAAAAGGGAAAACAAAATCGAAAAAATATCCTACAAAAAATATAAATATTGGTCGATGCAATTAACACATCAGTGTGCGTGAGCACACACAAACATACCTCGTAATAATAGTTTCTGCACATTTTATTCATAGTCGCAATAACATTTACCTACTCCCCTCCCACTTACTTCACCTCGCTGTGGCCTAACCATTTTCATTAATAAAATGTCTCATAGTATTTTATTTGTAAAAACAACTGTGTCCATGTTTTTACAGGATTTTTTTTTAATTGTAGTCTTTTTTTAACTTTATCATCGTAAAAATGACTACATATTGAAGATATTATTTTTATTCAACATGACCTGATATTTTTTCTGCTAATTTAAAATAACCGTGTAATGCAACAAGAGACTTATCAAATGGCACCAAAGATATATACCATTTCAAACTATCAAAAGAGCTACTCTTATGTTACCTTAAAATTATAAATATAAGACAGTCTTTGTCCCATTCAGTGTCGAGACCCTTGGTCCGTGGTGTCCTAGCGCTTTAAGGCTTTTTAAGAAAATATAAAAAAAAGTTAAACGACATCACAGGGGACTGAAGAGCTGGCAGCAACATCGGACAAAGAATTAGTATAGCTATCCAAAGGGGGAACGCTGCCAGTATCTTCGGAACGTTGTTTAAGGGGACTTCTTTTAATAATATATTTTAGTTAATTATTCGTTTTTAATATTTTTTTAATATCATAGATTTAAGACAGTCTTATAATTCGATACGAAATTTAAAAATTACTCAGGTCAAATTTTCTAATAGGATTATACGATATACAATAAGCTACTTTGAATATACTGAAAACAGAGCGAGCAACTCAAAACGAAAAGCAGACTTCGATTCCGGCTTTCAACGGTCTCTTCCATTCATTAATCACAAGATGATTGCACGTCAGAGAGAAAAATGCGGCAGCCGACCATCAAGACGGACCGAAACAATACTAAACGATCATTCATTACACAATCCGATCTAATTAAATTGTAATTCAATAAGAAATTCAATTACAAAATCTATTAAATAGGTTTGTGGGAAGTACAGCGTGGGCAGGCTCATGTATAACAGATAACTTTAGCTCCCGGTGGTCTTATGTTGGGGTCTCTTTGTTGTTTATGTTGTACATTTTTCAGACAAATAGTTAACAATATGTTTTTTTTATTTATTAAGGTACTAGCTGTCGCCCACGGCTTTGCCCGCGCGGTACTAAAAAGACTAATTAGTAGCCTATGTGTTCTTCCAGACTATATCCTACATCTATACCAAATTTCAGATCCGTTGCGCCGTTCCGGAGATAGCCTCTTCTAGACATTTTTAGTTAGAATAATTTGGCGTAAATGACGTGCTTTCATTATAAAGTCCAGTATCAGAATAAATAGTGAGGTGACACAAACGTCGAAATTTTAGTAAGGCTAGTGTTGAGTCAATACACTGGCTCATTTCCGAATTTTCTTCCTAACACTTGAAACAAACATCCATCCATCCAACATTTGCATTTATATTATTAGTATGAAGTAAGATTAACAACTCCATTAACTTGTGAAATTAAATTCTGTTCAAGTTCTACAGTATGTTCTTTATATTTTTATGACTCTAGTATACTTTTTATTCTTCGTTTTAGACTCAATAAGTCTTTTTATATCTGCAAGACATTCATCATACAGATAATAAAACAGCGCGTGCGCAAAAACTGCATTCGAGTAAGCTTACAAAATGAATGCATCCCTTTACGCAACTTATAGGTTAATCAGTCACAAGTTGACACAGTCAATTACTCTATTGATTTAACATTAGTTATAAATGACTGCGTTAAAAAAAATGATTAAGTAGTAGTCTATGTGTTCTTTCAGAATATGTTCTACATGCCTTTCAGCGTTCCTTGCAGCTGTTCTGGAGATACCTTCAAATAAACATCCATCCATCCTCTTCTTCTTCTTAAGTTTAAAATCCCAATTGCTTCTATGCTATAGGTTCACAACACCTGGATTGAAATAATAAAAAAATTGTCTCCGAGTGCAATTTCTTCAAATGTTTAAATTGTGACGTCATAAAGATTATGGATCACCCTTTATCTACATTTAAATTTATAACGTAGTATAATTGATGTTCATTTTGCGACATATGGCAATAATGAATTCGGCTTGCAAGAGGTCGCAGGCGTTTTACTGTACAATAACTTAATGTCAAGTTATCTATACTTACGAAACGCTTGCTTATATCTCAGCGTGACAAGTACTTATCTTGTTAACATGCCTTTTAAGCTAATTTGTGGTTGAACTTAAAGTTAATGAATTTCAACACCAACGCTATGTGGTATATTTGTGAATTATTGGTTTAATTGATAAGCAAAAAGTTAATCTGTAAAATTAAGTTAAACAAATTAAATAAATCAAGAGTTAGCAGATACGAATCCATCATTCATCTTACTAATATTATAACCACTAATGTTTGGATGTATGGATGGATGTTTGTTAGAAGGTATCTTCTCAAGGGTTCTTGGAACTCACTGTAGCCTACCCTAAGTAAAGGGTGATAAGGCCATAGTCAACCACGATGGCCAAGTACAGATTGGTTGACTTCACACATATCTTTGAATTTCTTCTCAGATATGTGCAGGTTGCATCACGATGTTTTCCTTCAAGGACGTTGGATAAATGTACATATGTAAATCGGAAAATCGAAAAACACATTGGTACATGGCGGGATTCGAACCCAGTACCTGAAGATTGCAAGTCAAATGCTTGACCCCTGAGCCACCGAGCCTTTTACTACATATATTAAACATGTTACTACATTAAATTAATTTAAAGCAAGTTGTGCATTGTATATCTCAAATCAATCGATACAATATTTAGATAGTAGCTATGTTTGAAAATCGTGACTACTTCATGTAGATTGAAATGATATATATTTTTTTGTTTCATAACTCTCAAATCAGATAGAGCTAATGAAAAATAAATAGGAACGTGAGTTAATTTAATTGTAATCGAATTTTTATCCAAAGGAGCTCATCTGTTGACCACGCCTTCACTATCCTGTTCAATTTTAACCATACAAATCACAAGCGATAGCGGGTAACAACATTTTAGAGATTCTTATTATTTTATTGCCCTTAAAACTTTACTTATATAGTCAAACTAGCTGTCGCCCGCGACTCCGTCGGCGCGGAATTAAGAAAAAAACAATTACTAACTTATGTATTCTTCCAGACTATGTTCTACATGAATGCCAAATTTTATCGTTATTCGATCAACTGTTTCGGAAAAACCTTCTTAAAAGTCGCATCTATAATATTAGTAAGAGTAAGATTTAAGTCAGACTGACAGTACTATTAATACAATAAACTTAATTTAAAAACCAAACACATACGAAAGACTGAAACTCTCTAACATTTAGATGAAATAGCGCCATCCATTGGCTGCGTTGTAAGACAAATTTTTTTTAATTCTAACTAAATAAACTGCAGTTTAATAATAATTTTTGTCTTCTTTGATACCACGTTTAAAGGAAAAATTTAGTCAAAAAATTATGGTTAACATTATTATATGTAACAACATTATACTTGGCCTTATTAGCCATTTTTAGCTCACTTAATTTTATACATATTTTTTTTAAATGAAGAAAAAATCATCCTGAACATGCTGCAACTTGCGCTTTACTATCTTCTTAATGCCTGCTTTCGATGGGCGGGACTTCGCCAAATCTAATTATAATTCTAAAAAAACGGCTGCTACATTTTTGTATATAAAAAAAAAACACCTTTTATAGTCTCGTGTGAAATGGGATGCCAAGTTTAAACTTGACATTTTAGAATTCGTTAACATTTATGATTTATCTGCGAAATACAATTTAATTTATTAGTTGCTATAAAATACTTTTGTTATAGAGTTTAAATTAAAACACGCTGTATAAGTTTTATTAATTTGAATAGATTGTGGATGTATTTTATTTTAATTATAATAGAAATAAAACCGAAAATACAAGTTAAATGAAAAAC